TTGGAGTTATGGTTTGGGGTGCTATAGCTTATGGTTCCAGGTCACCTTTAATCTTCATCAGAGGTAACATGAACGCGCAGCGTTATATCCACGAAGTTCTAGAACCCCATCTTTTACCCTATCTTGACAACCTGGCAGATCCAACTTTCCAACAAGATAATGCCCGACCACATGTTGCAAGACTCACAATAGACTTCTTTCAACATAATGATGTCACATTGTTACCATGGCCACCAAGATCTCCCGACTTATCCCCAATTGAGCACGTGTGGGATATGATGGGTAGGAGATTGCTCAATTTGCAACGTCCTCCTCAGACTCTAGAAGCACTTCGAGAGGAGTTGGTGGTTGCCTGGAATGAGATACCACAGGAGGACATTGACCACCTGATCAGAAGCATGCCTAGGCGCGTTGGAGAATGCGTAGCACATCAGGGTGCATCCACACATTATTAAAGGTCAAAGGGCTTTAAAGCAGTGCAATCATTTTGAAATTTTTATCATTTACTTATTATGCTTCATTAAGTACTTATACAAAATTTTATTAAAATAAAACCATTTAAACTGGGTGTTCGGATTTATATGTCACTTAGTATATTTATGGTATAAGGCACATGGTACGAGTAAGTACCCAAAAGTTGGCTTCAGGCATGATGTATTACTTAGTAGATATAACCCCTGTAACTTGGAGAAGCGCAGAAGCTATGCTGCTTGTGTATTTTTGTATAAGCTACTTAACAATGTGATACATTCTGAATATTTACTTAGTAAGATTCGTATACATGTACCTCACGCTAGAACGCGATCCAATTCAGAATACTTTTATTTAAGCGCAGCTAGAACCAATGCGTTGCTTTTTTCTCCGATACATATAGTATGTAACAACTATGGACGTGCGAGATATAATGTAGATTTGTACCTTTGTAATTTGGGCACTTAAAAAGATTTTATCTAACAGTAGGTTAGGTAATTTGGTAATTTTATTGCATTTTTAAGTATTTTCATGTTTTAGAATTGATTCATATGTTAATATCCGTTAAATGGTGTAATGAGCGATTCGGATGGTATACAGTGTCTTAAATTAGAGATACGAAGTCGCTTAAATGGAGACAAGACGGAAAAAACCGAATTATATCATTTTTTTCCTGTCTTTAATTAGGGGATTCCAAAATAAATTGCTGATTAACATTGCCATTTTTTCTCCTCTTCAAGATGGCATAATCAGAATTCCAATAAAACGTTTCTTCTTCAGCATCAAGTTTATTTTTTCTTAAGAACGCCATATCGGATTATTGAGCAGGTGAATAGACTTTATAATCCTGATTTTAAAAAATTATGTCATACATTGATGTTGCTAACATTTAGTTATTTTAGAAAAACAAAATTTCCTATGTAGGCTTACAAATTATCAGATTTTATTTGTTTGGTATACCAGACCTCAAATTGAGTTTGGAAGACTAAGAAGAAGAAAAATAAATCGAGCAGGGAACAATGTACAGAGAAGAGTCAGACTGCCTACAAAATAACGTTCATTTTGAGCATCTGCTATGATTTATCTATGCTTATTTATGGTTGCCATTCTTATTAAAGGATTTAATGAAATCCCATCTCAAACAAAGTCAGGAAAAAATAAAAGCGATTTTGGGATAAATCTGGTATGCGAAACCAACGACAATCTGATTATTTCAAGGCCTAACTAGGGAATTCTGCTTTTTTGAATGAACTAAGGTTTGGTAATGTCAACGTATTACGTATTATACCTTTTTGAAATCAGAATTGTGCAAAAATGCAATGTGGCGTCCATAAGAAAAACTAAAGTCAGGCCTGGAGGAAAACAGGAGAATCGTCACATTGAAATTCTAATTATGCCGTCTTGTAGAGGAGAAAAATTTGCAATGTGCAGGTTATTTTGAAGTCCCACTACAAATAAAGTCAGGAAAAAATTAAAACCATTTTGGGAAACTCCGTTTTTTCTGTCTCTCTCCGGAAGTACCTTGAATTTCAAAACTTTCTAAGCGGCATTTGGTTGATTACTTAAATGCACAACTTTGTCCCGGTTTGAGTGACTTCGTATCTCTTACAGTTTCAGAGATCCCAATGGTGGAATTTGAAACACCCTGTATATAAATGAAGGACAACAAAAATTAGGCCTTCTATATTTCACAAATGGTCCATCGAACATTTAGGGAAAAAGACTGCCCTGGAATGTCAATCGATTGACCAAAAGGAACGCAATCGAAATTCCAAACAATGATATTTGGGACTTTGACGAAATCATCAGTCACTCGGTATGATTATGTTAATTTTCAAACACCTATCTATGTGAGCTTTTTTTCTAGCACGTCGTGATTTTTTTATCGGAAACATTTATGTTTCACCATTTTCAGCAATTTTTATAAAAGAACAAACATTATTGAACGCATAAATTAGTTTTTACACAAAAACCAGCAATAATGCTGAAAATTGTACTAAGCTGTTCAACTGTGTCAGAAAACTTATGACATCTTTAATAGCTTCCATCGAAATTTCCACTCAATCTCTTTCTTTCTCTCCGGTCCATCTCAAACATGCAACAACGTATCTAACTTTAATAAGTTAGCGGAAACTCACACCTTGTTCTTCACTTACGGCATCAAGGTTCTCATGAAATAACTCAAATGGAAATGAATAATTATTGATTCTGAAGACACGTTGTACCTTTGGTGACATAATTGTATCTTAATAATGTTACTTCAATGATGGAAATAACATTGTGTAGATATGAAAAGCCAAAGAAAAAATCGAGTCACGAGCTAAGCATTTTTCTACAATTGAAAACCATCGAATTTTCATTGTGAAATATTAAGGAAGAATAATTACCCAATTCCTCTCGACTTATGTAAACATTGCCACATTACAAAGGCAAACGGCACCAAAAAAAATCCTTTTTCATGCGCGCTTCATGTTTGCAACTTTCTCCGTGCTCACCGTCTCTGATGATCTCAAAAATATGGGTTGCATCTTGCATAATTATTCGTAATTATGATTATCGTTCATGCATGAACAAGTATATAAATATATCATAGTTGTCTAATTGTCAAATGAACGAAAGGCCATAAAGCATTTCGCAGAAGCCTGTGGGTATGCAATGTAAATGTATATTTTATGAGTGTTACTTTCAATCGACTTTTTTGTAAACTGATTTCAGTATTGAGAAATGATAATAGCCCGGAATCTCATGTGTCAGGGTTATAGCTATATTCAGCAGGTTATAAATGGCCGAGCTCTACTAATGATTTCGGATGGTCGAAGTCTAGATCACCGAGGACTTCATCTGACACGAACACATTTCGTCAATAGCGCTGAGAATACTTTTCTCCACATGACCTCCTCACTCTGTACAAGGCCCAGATAAGACCTAGCTTCGAGTACTGCTCACCTGTTTGGGGTGCTGCCATCCCGACTACATTATCCACGCTCGATGCTGTTCAGAGAAGAGCTGTCCGATGAACTTCTCTGACAGTCTCGGGACCCTTTCGCACTGACGGCGACGGGCTTTGTTCCCCAGAGCGCTACTCCATGATAGAAGGTATTATCAAAATAAGCGTATCAACTTCTTTAGAAGATTAGACCTACTGGGAGTAGTATTCAGAGATGCAGCAATGGTCCAGTAAGTTGCATTGGAGGATCCATTCACGAAAACCTAACCGAACAAACAGTAGAGTTTGGTGGGCTTGATTTAACAGCACTCCGATTTCTAAAACAGTTTACTTTAATCTATGAAAATAGTTCAATTAAGCTGAAACACAATCGATAGTTCAATTTATAAAACCGTTTACTTAGATCGAGTACATCAGTTTATTTAAAATTAATGAACTATCAAAATGAGTTTACCGATTCCAAGTATAACATTTTAATTATACTTATTAAATTTGTTTAATTATTATAGGTAAAAGTATCTACCTAGTTTCAATGAATTATTTTATTTAGATTTGGAAGCATATTTGGATAATACGTATAATAAAGAACAAATTGCATTCTCCTGAATGATGTATATTATAGCAGTGCTCTGACAAATCTGACATCAAAAAATTTGGAAAGCTTGATATTAATATATAGTTGATATTTTCGAAGCAAAATAACATCTTTCGAAACTTGTAACTCTAACAAAAATTTTTAATTTAATTGATTGTGTACTTATTATATATGGAATCAAGTTTCACCAATTATTTGTCTGATTGTTCAGAAACAGGTTATACTATATCATTTATCACTAGAAGCAATTCTTTGTTCTAAATTCAAACTGAATAAGGCAACTTGATCATGTGTACAAAAATTGCACTTTTATTTCTAATACTAAAATAATATTGCACTCACCCAGATTCAACGCATTCACAAATATAAATAAATTCGACATCACTTTAAGCAAACTAGGGTATTTACAAATACCACAAAGTCTGCACCAACAGGAGGCTTCACTTCCTATAAGATACATTATACTATATAAAAGAAAAGCACAACGAGCCTATGTTAAATACATATTTCGTATAACTGCCCTTCATTGGCCTAAATAGAGCGAGAAATATTCTAACAATGTATTTCACTTCATCATTGATCGACTTCATAGCTACTATACCAGCAACGGCAACATTCGAATTTGTAGCTCATTGTGAAAATCACAAATGAAACTGAGGAGTTAGGAGTGCGTCACCTGCATTGCGCCTGTCGCATACTCCTGATCATTCACGAATCCCGTCAAGTTTGCGGTTCAAATAAACAGTTTAACTATTTTTATTAGAAAGTTTAATCGTTTTTAATGCACCCGCGTGGGCGACACGAAACATGTCTTGAAGGAATATTTTTCTGACATATGCCTTCTTCATACACGTATCAACGGTATTCAGGAACTTTCACAGTGCAATATTTGCAAGCATTCTAGAACCAGCGTATCTGAGTGATTGAAAAATTGAACATTTTCATGAAGTTGGTCTTAAAAGAATATAATTCGATTTTTTGTTTCAGCTGTACTGAAAAAAATGCCGGACCCTATGAATATGCGCAACAACAACTCTGAAGACAGAACTAAGAAGGAGCTAGAAAGGGTAGCTAGAGAGGAACTCAGAGAGACTGAGAGTAACAGGGTTCAATGCTTACAAAGCCTTCGTGATTGGGTGGAGCAAAATGGTGATATTGAAAATTGCCTGACAGGTATGAAGTTAGTCCTCCATGTTTGTCTGACCGCTAAATGAAACCAAATATGATTGAAATCTCATTTAACGACGACGCTTGGGAAACCATGGTGGCCTTTTCAAGTAACAATAATAATCTTGATGACAATATATATGGTATCCAAGATAAGGATCCTATCCATGGGGACCTCAATACCTGTGGCAAGTACAGCTTGGGTGGGCTAAGAAAAAGCTGCGCTTTTTGAGGCGTATTTACATGCCGTTAAGAAACTTTTAAAAATAAAATGGCTTTGAATTTATTTTAAGAAATATACTAAGTGACATATAAATCCGAACACCCAGTTTAAATGGTTTTATTTTGATAAAATTTTGTATAAGTACTTAATGAAGCATAATAAGTAAATGATAAAAATTTCAAAATGATTGCACAGCTTTCCCTTTGACCTTTAATAATGTGTGGATGCGCCCTGATGTGCTACGCATTCTCCAACGCGCCTAGGCATGCTTCTGATCAGGTGGTCAATGTCCTCCTGTGGTATCTCATTCCAGGCAACCACCAACTCCTCTCGAAGTGCTTCTAGAGTCTGAGGAGGACGTTGCAAATTGAGCAATCTCCTACCCATCATATCCCACACGTGCTCAATTGGGGATAAGTCGGGAGACCTTGGTGGCCATGGTGACAATGTGACATCATTATGTTGAAAGAAGTCTATTTTGACTCTTGCAACATGTGGTCGGGCATTATCTTGTTGGAAAATTGGATCTGCCCGGGTGTCAAGATAGGGTAAAAGATGGGGTTCTAGAACTTCGTGGATATAACGCTGCGCTTTCATGTTGCCTCTGATGAAGATTAAAGGTGACCTGGCTATAGCACCCCAAACCATAACTCCAACAGTGTGATGAACATGTCTTTCAACAAAAATCTGTGGATTCCTCCTTCGTGCATGCCTAAATAAAATCGAGACTCGTCACTAAAGACAATACTATTCCATTCCTGTTAGTGAATTGAAAAAAGCAGTATAAAAACCGGAATGTCCAACTGATAAGGCTTGTTATTTACAGTAAGATAAATACATTCACCAACTTTTATTAAAATAAAACCATTTAACCTGGGTGCTCGGATTTATATGTCACTTAGTATATAATAAGATACATGTCTGCAGTATTTTTAGTATTTTTTTAGTACAGAGCACGTCGAACTTTTCTCCATTGCTAAAATGTCCGCCTGGCATATTTGATGATAATAAAGCAATATTAACAATACACAATAATAACTATACTCGGTGACAGGTATTTATGTCAAGTATTTGATTGCAACGCCTACTTAAAAAAATTCGTTTGTTTTTCGAATATCGTAACGCATTTGTTCAATTACTCACAAATACGAAATGTTTGAATTTGTTTGAAAGAAAAAACGCAACCTTTGTTTTCGCATAAAAATAACATTTATCTTCCGGAATGGTTTGTGATTCATATCGACCAGGCAGAGACGTGAATTTTGCTATTAACATAACATTTTTGCTATTAGTCGGAACTTTTCACGTGTGGTCTCATTTTGTAGGTCTCATAAATACCTCAAATTCTTATATGAAGTCTTTTTGTTCCTGTCAACACTTTCGATTGAATCCCAAAGGACACGTTTTCTCTTTCTTTGTGGTATTCCCCTGTCGTATAATAAATGTATCGCGTCCCGAATTCTCACTGTATCAACCGCTTTCTTCAAATCTGTCAGGCACATATATGCTGGTTTGTTGTATTCCAGCGACTTTTCTTTTATTTGTCTTATTACAAAAACTGCATCCATGCATGATCTTCCTGTCCGGAATCCTTGCTGTTCCTCTTGCAGAGTTGTTCGTTCGTTTATTTTTGTCGCCATTATTCTTGTTGTCAATTTGAGTGTTATATTTAACAGATTTATTGCTCGATAATTATTGGGGTCTCTCTTATCTCCTTTCTTGAAGAACATCAGCATGATCGCTCTCCTCCATTCATCTGGTATTCTGTTCGTGGTGATTATTTTTTAAAGAAGGAGTTGCAGTTGTTGTACCAGGTAATCACCTCCATATTTTAAGAGTTGATTTGGTATTTGATCTTCTCCTGGTGACTTTCTATTTCTTAATTTATTTATTCCTTGTTTCACATATACTTGGGAGATTTCGGTCTTTTCATCAGTTATTATATTTGGCGTCTCTGGTAAAGAATCTTCGTTTTATTTTTTATACATCTGTCAGGAAGGGCACCCATGTATTATGTGTTCTATTTCAACTAGTTCATTCTTTGTTGTCAAATAAAAAGTTTTTCCACAAGAAATGGTGTACCCATTTTATACGTCCTTGTATTAAATACCCCCTAGAACAACTTGCCCCAATAAAACCAGACTTTACAATTATTTCGGGGAGATTTGCTAATACGATTAGACTAAATTGTATACAACCCTCTTCTGATAAAACGATTTCACTTGATATTTAAAATGTGGTGAAAGATGTATAAGATGGCAATGCTCCCTTCCAGTAAATATTCTAGGAGATTATTTTCTAGAGAATGTTTTATAGACAACGATGCCACACTTAATCAGCAGTAAATTACCTAACATAATTATTACTTCTAGAGTGTAGCAATAAGCATGCAATGCAATTAGATACCCTCAATATAATCAAAAAGGTTATAAAACATCAACTGCTGAATGGGTAATCACTTCCTTATCGTTTTACTGAGAACTCTGTTTAGATTTTTATAGTTCAGTAGCTCATAACAGTTTTAATGGTGTGCGGCAACAGCTAATTTTCATAAACGCAAAGAAAATCAAACAATGGCAATCTGCAACTTGAAAAAATGCTTCAAGAAGCTGAACTTGGACACAAAACTATATCATATACAAATACCGGGCGTGACTTTCCCTTCTTCTCTTACCTTATAAAAAAGAATCTAAGATCGACCCTTACAACAACAGGCCTATATTAGCTCTGCTTTCTGTTATAAGTACGGTGATGGAGAGGTGCATAAATCGGGAGCTTCTGCCAATAATCTGGTACGGTTTAATGGTTCCAAGACACAGTACCTTGACCCAGATCAGACCTCGAGAATTGCTCACATGTTTGGGTACTGCCGCATGATTACGAGTAAGAGAAATAGTATTCAGTGACCAGGTGCCTACTTCTAACTGAATTTCGACGTTGAATTTAATTTACATTTGATCCGCTATGATAATTTGAACTTCATTAGAATCAGGAGCCAAAATTACCATAGCGGGAATGTATGACGGGCAGGCGACATCGAAATCAATTCCAACTGTCGAAATTCTGCAGAATCAGGACTTAGGACCCTAGTTGTTCCACTAAATGGCAGTGACATCTATTGAAGGATTGAAAGGTGGATACTTGATAACTCTTAAGGCTAGCGTAAACACTCTCATGCTTGTCATACGTTTTGCTTGTATAGTCTTAAATCAAAATACACAGGCAACCATGGACAGCTGTTTCATGCTTTTTGACTACTCCTTATTATGGTCAGGGCTTGGTTCTCTTGGACAACCAGCTAAATCGTTAGCAACTAACACTATCAAAAGTGTGAGATCTTTAAGACAGCGCCATCTATCACTAGAGCCCATCACTGCGAACAGTGAGTCGCAGCCGGTTGCGTCTCAGTCCGCGAATTGGAGGCCCAGTCACCAAGTGACCGCTAGATGGTGATGCTTCGAGCTATGTAGTAGATGTGGTCTATTTGCCATTGAACAAAATAAACATGTTTTTTGCGTTCGTCGCCTTGAGATCCGTACAGTCCCAACCGGTGAGCTGCGATTCACTGTTCGCAGTAGTCGATTTTGGCAGATACATGCCACTTCACGCTGTCCTATGTCGAGTCTTGAATCAGTATGTAGGCTATAGTGTCTGTGGTACTAAATCTTCCGTTTTCCTTATGGCGTCCTTTCAGTGTCTTAGGCCCGTATCGTCAGTCATCCCTACAATTGTAGGGTGCGTTTATGGCCTCCTTGATTGTCATACTGCTTTCTCTCCGTCAAAAATTTCTAGATTACACTTGTCCCGTGTCAGCGTCAGCGCTCTCCTATTGTGAACATATGTTTTCTTTTTAAATTGTCGTAAATTTCAGGCTGATAAAATATGATATAACTCAAAAGCAAGCACAATTTGATGCAAATAGATGTTTGTGACATAACCTCAAAATAGAGCGCTGACACGTAGAAGTAGAAAACTATGACAATCAAGGAGGCCATAAAGGCGCCCTACAATTCTAGGGACGACTGACGATACGGGCCTTAGAACGAAGAAAATCAACTGAAGGCTGATTTTTTCGCTTGCACCAACTTGCTCAAGGAAAAACTTGAGTTTCTGAATGAAAATACTATATCTTGCACGACGACTTAAGTGCAAGCGAAACATATGCGAGTAGCATGAGTGACTATGCCAGCCTTTACAAATGTTTGTTCACATTATTCAAACAACTAAATGTACTGACGTAAATGAAGGAGACGAAATAGTAGGCCACATAGCATCGTATTAACAACAGTAATTATTATCGAATACTGTAATTTACGCAACTGTTTGGCTGTTGTATACGTTTGTGGGAGGATCATCTCTCTGAATATAAGCATTTACTTCTCAAAAACAAATATATACACACTTTGTTCTTACACATACTGCCTGGGTATTTTACGATTTTAAGTCAAAAAATCTGTTATTTCTGGAATTTTACCAAGGTTGCTTAGTTCAGATTCCCAAAACTATACACTGTAATCATAGGTCCTTGTATTATATCAGACGCATCTTCGACATCGTTTCGTTGTCATAGATAGTTGATAAGGCATTTTTCACAAGTATCCATTATGTCAAACGTGACAGCAACTAACAGCTGATCATCTAGTAATATTTCAAAATACCGCATATTGACTAGTGATAAACAATTCTGACGGATCTGTCTACGCTAAGTAGTAGACTCGTATTTTGTTGTGGTCTACGGCTACAGATCCATACTTCCTAACAACGCTTTCATTTAGAAAAGTACCTTCGCAAACTGGAAAAAACTCTACAAACAAAATGGCTGTTGATGGCTATGTTTGGTATAAACGGCTCTCAATACGGTCCTGTGTTTTACCCGATTCATTATTGCCAACAATACAGGCTTCGATACAAATATGTAAGTGAACATGATGACGCCAAAATTACGTCATTATTCGGTGACTTTTGGTCAGAAACGTCATTGACTAAAAAATGACGTAATTTTTGATGCTATTTTTATGGCGACAACAAAATACCATTCAAAAACCTGTCATTCTGACGTCCAGTACTGAAAAATCAACACTTACAAAGAAAATATAGATTTTTAATGAACAGTAAGGTAAACTAGATATCCAAATACTATACTAAGTGACATATAAATCCGAACACCCAGATTAAATGGTTTTATTTTAATAAAATTTTGTATAAGTACTTAATGAAGCATAATAAGTAAATGATAAAAATTTCAAAATGATTGCACTGCTTTAAAGCCCCGTTGACCTTTAATAATGTGTGGATGCACCCTGATGTGCTACGCATTCTCCAACGCGCCTAGGCATGCTTCTGATCAGGTGATCAATGTCCTCCTGTGGTATCTCATTCCAGGCAACCATCAACTCCTCTCGAAGTGCTTCTAGAGTCTGAGGAAGACGTTGCAAATTGAGCAATCTTCTACCCATCATATCCCACACGTGCTCAATTGGGGATAATTCGGGAGATCTTGGTGGCCATGGTAACAATGTGACATCATTATGTTGAAAGAAGTCTATTGTGACTCTTGTAACATGTGGTCGGGCATTATCTTGTTGGAAAGTTGTATCTGCCAGGGTGTCAAGATAGGGTAAAAGATGGGGTTCTAGAACTTCGTGGATATAACGCTGCGCGTTCATGTTACCTCTGATGAAGATTAAAGGTGACCCGGAAACCATAAGCTATAGCACCCCAAACCATAACTCCAACAGTGTGATGAACACGTCTTTCAACAAAAAACTGTGGATTCCTCCTTTCACCACGTCGCCTTCTAATCCTGGCACGACCATCGTGCATGCCTAAACAAAATCGAGACTCGTCACTAAAGACAATACTGTTCCATTCCTGATCCCAGAGTGACCGTTGTCTGCACTACTCAAGGCGATTACGTCGGTGTTCTCGAGTTAAAGGGAGGACCCAGTGTGGCCGGTATGAAAACAAGCCAAAACTTCTCATTCGTCGGTAAACACTTCGCATGCCAATAGGTCTTCCGTGTTCTGCAAACCATTCATTTGCAATGGACCTGGTAGTGGAGAAACGGTCCCTTAAGGCCAATAATCTTAGGCGGCGATCTTCACGGTCTGTTGTTCTACGGCGGCGTCCAGTGCCCCTTGCTCTTTGCGTACGGCCTTCTCGAAGCCATGCCTGACAACACCTAACCACAGTGTCTACACTTCTTTGCACTCTAACTGCAATTGCCCGAAAAGAAAGTCCAGCTTCCCGAAGTCCCACGATACGGCCCCTATCAAACTCACTAAGTTGACGAAATCGTACAGGTCTCCGTACTCTAGGCATCGTAACCGATCGTAAAGGATGTCAAGAACCAAAATCCGCCAACGTTGATTCTTTACTGCGGCTGAAATATTCATTTTTAGAGCGTTAGTGAATTAAAAAAAAGCAGTATAAAAACTGGAATGTCCAACTGATAAGGCTGAAAATTTTTTACTTGTTATTTACAGTAAGATAAATACATTCACCAACTTTTATAAAAATAAAACCATTTAAACTGGGTGTTCGGATTTATATGTCACTTAGTATAATTACTACTTTATTATTTATAAAGAACTAACATGAACTCTTCGACCAAAAATAAATAATATTGCTTTTATAATGATATTTCATTTTCAGGTATTTCAAATCGCCATTTTACATCGTGTTTTATTCCCGTAAATAACAAATTTATGGGAAACTCCTCTGTATAACAATAACCAAGTCTTACTAGAATATTAGTTTGTAATCAAGCGCTGTAAAAGCTCAAATTTTGGAACGGTATATCATTCAGCCTATCATCAGCGAACAAGCGAACAAGCACGACGCTTGGCGGTGAGCTCGAACGATGTCCAAGCTCCATGCGTGTTCGCCGTCTAGTAATGGTTCAGCCATTTTGTTTTATAAATCTATGGGTTTGACCGGCATCACGATGGCTTCGTCGTACTTAAGGTACATTTTGGTAAACATTTACTAATAACAGCAGTATTGCCACATACTAGTCAATAAGGTTGGGTGACACCCAGGAAACAAGCAGTGCTGTGGCCTCCTGGGAAAAAGTGATTTTGATATTTAAAAAAAAAATGCTGAACTATAGGAGGACTGGAACGTGCTTGAGATAAAATAGTGTTGTTTAGTTCTTTATTAATCATCCAGATTTACTGTGTACAAACAAAGATGTGGGGGTGATGACGTCTCGGAACGAGAAGGTTAAAGAGTGGTAGGTAAGTCGAATATGAGTTTCGGCGCCTTTCTACGACTCCTAAACTCACTGTTTTCAGTAGCATCTGGATACACCGCGCGATTACCTTTACGAGTAACTGTACGTCATATCGACGTCACATAATTCCTATCGACCTCAGATAGACGTTATATCCACGACATACAGAAGTCATATCGACTTTGTATTTGATCTTTTATACGACATACTATGACGTCATACAATTGGGTGTGACATTAGACCATCATAATGACGTCATTTCTACGTCATTTTTGTTGGTCGGTGTACGTCAATGGTGCCCGACATTGCAATCTCACTATGTTCACTGGGATGTTACTTGCTGATCCGTGGGTCACCTCAGTAGACGTTAAAACGTAATGGATACTGGTGGAAGAAATAACTTCACTAAGTAGTTTCCGAATTTAACATATACCCCACTCATATTTCATTTAGTCTGAGTAAAAACAGATACGAACATTGGAGCACCGCTTTTATTGGTATGTCAGTACCTGACCAGGCATTTTTGGTTCGACGGCGAATAGGAGCATCAAGATTTTGACGTCACGCGTTAATCCTGGTTTTTTACCTGGAGAATATTATATTTGAATACAGTACACAAGTTTTGGAGGCGATAACATAAAAATTACTAATGATCTATCTGCTGTTCTGCTTGGTTGATATGTAGTTGGAAAAAGTTCATTTTTGGCGTAAATTTTCTATAAAAACAACATGCCTTATATAAAATACATCAGTTTGTAATCTCTATTTTTTTATTTTTATAGACGACAATTTCCTTCTACGATTTCTGCGAGTCAAAAAATACAGCATACCAATGGCTCAGCAGATCCTGTTAAAGTATTTGAACTATAGGAAGAAGTTTCGTGAGATATTTTATAACCTAGACTACAGAGATCCAAAAATCAACGAACTGATATCTAAAGGGTAAGAGGACATACACACCATTAGTAGTAGTAGTGGTACTAATACATTTTCTTCACAAGCACTCGCATACGTTGCATACAAACTTAATAAGTATGTTTTAATGTGTTTTGTAAACATGGGGTAAACATTCAAAGAGTGATCTTTCGGACTATGGTAAAACCGTTTTGATTCACAGATACAGTGTAACATTTTTTTGATCGCATGTGACTATTTGAATCATTGCTCTTATTGTCAAATAACCTGGATTGGTTGTTAAGAATTTCAATTGGTGTCAGGAATGACAGCTAGGTAACCGTATATCCTAATTGACATATTTTACTTGCAGATATATCTTTGTTAGCCCATTTCGTGATTCTAAGTGTAGAAGAGTAATTATATACGACCTAAGTGAGTAAAAGCAAGATCAATATACACGCTGTGCGTTACCACTAGTAGTATACCGGGTGTTTCAAATTCGACTCTCACCATTGGGGTACAGTAAATGATAGGAAGTCGGTTAAACGGGGGAAAAGTTGCGACTAAGAAAATTGCACTTGGAATTTTTCTAAATGCCGAGTATTTTCGGAAGTAGACGAAAGAAACTGAATTTTCCCAAAATCGTTTTTATTTTATCCTGACTTTATTTGAAATGAGATTTCAAAATAAAAAGTACGTTAATATTATTCTCCGAAATACTTTCAATATGACGTTACGCCTGTAGTCATCCATATTCAACTTTATAGATTTCGTATTGTTTTTAAATCTGATTTCAAAATGTTTAATGTGTCATGCATTAAATTTATCTAGCCTAAGTTATTAAAAAAAACTAATATTCTCAGGGTTGGCTTTGAAAATGATAGTCTATCACTTGTTTCTCCTATTAAATCATCACTTTTGGAGGAGCGTGTCGTGTGATATGAAATGTGCTTAGGAAGCTGCTACAATAACGAGGCTTTTAATATTCCCATTAGTCACATAAAATTGAATTTTTCAATGTTTCCAATAAGATACATTCTTGAGATAACTAAGTTTTGGCAATGTCAATATATTGTGACAAATAGCGCCATCTGTTGGGCGAGTCTCCTACTCGCCAGAGCTTAATGGCCGATCTCTGCTTTTACGCGAACCACGACCGCACAAGCCGCCTGACGGCGTCTGTGAGGACTGTGACAGTGGATCGCCTTCTAGATCGACGCGAAGTGATCTCCAATATTCTAGATGTCGCTGAATCGTCGAGTAGCAGGGCGGAGTGAAGTATATTGCAGTCAATGGTAACATAAGAATTAGTCAGACATAAATAGTGGTGTATATAAATGTTTTATCAAGTTAAATAAATTAGTGCATTTCTTTTTTTGGAATCCAGTGTTTTAATCCACACCCAGAAGAACCCAGAAAAACGCTATAATATAATACATATTTAGAATCAGAAATGAAAGCTCGATTCACCTGTGCGAAAATCCAGTATGGCGTCTGTGAGAAAAAATGATGTTGATGTTTGAGGACAGGTTTGTGAATATTCAATTTTTTTCGGAGATGAGAAACTTTCTTAGTTACTTCCATGCTCAACTCTTACCGTTTCCGAGATCAAAATGGTGAGAGTCGAATTTGAGACACCCGATATAGCTCATACATTTGAATGATCTTCATATGGTGCATAAGTTTCTTTTAACTGAGTAATCAACCAAATTGAATTCATTTCTAGGTAAATTTGATGTGAGCAAGTTCAACGGAGTCGACTTAGCTAAGTCTCATGCCATTACTTACGAAACTTTGCTAGATGATGACGAGACTCAAATCTTAGGAGCACACCACGTTGCAGATGTTGAAACTATCAGCCCTCAATTCTTGACTTTGTTTACGATAACTGAATTTTCCTATCTCATCAAATGGGGAGAGGTGAGTAATAAAAATCGACAAATACAGGGTGTCCGCAAAGTTGGGGTTTTCCTTTACACGACGTGTAGATCTTGAAAACATAAGCAATTTTTCTTAGTACCATATACACCAATGTCTTAAGGGGACCGAGATAAAGGGCTCTGCAACATCAAAAATATCTGAATACCGTCCTGTAGCCACGACCCGGGACATCACCGATTGGTACAAGGTCTCAACTCGACGGCAGAACTGGTTCGGGGTCAGTGTGTCAGGTCAGTATGCAACCTTCAACCGACGGTTACGGTCACGCGTGTAGAGGTAAACGAACCCATACAATCGATTGCGTTTCAAAAAACAACAAGCACTAGAGACGCGGCTAGAGAAGTGCAAGTATCAAAAACTAAAGTGTGGCAAACGCTGCGTGAAGAGGGGCTGTACCCTTTTCACGTCCAACGTGTACAAGCCCTTCAACATGACGATTTTCCAGCAAGAGTGCGGTTTTGTGAGTGGTTGTTGCATCAACATGACAATAATCCGGACTTTTTGAAGTGCATATTGGTGACAGACGAATCTACGTTCACGCGTAATGGGGTGAATAACTTTCGCAACACTCATGTTTGGTCATTACGCAACATTTTGCCTTCCTTGTTTGCCTGCGTCTGCTCGGTAGCGCATCAGCTGATTTCATTTTTTGTTGGAGCGGTATGATTTCGGGCAGAGACGTACTTAGCCCTTCTCGTCAACTGGAGAGTGAGTACTTTTTCCTTTATTTTTTTTTTACTTGGTCGTCCTCGTTTCACTACACAGTACCTTTGTTATTTCAAGGGTAGTTGTTTCTGAAAAGGAAAACCCCAACTTTGCGGGCACCCTGTATATGATTGTAGCGTTTCTGAGATAGGCAGATTAAATTGCAGCAGTTGTAGGAAAAAACCTTAGTTACAAATATAATTCTAGTCCAAAGAACTTGCCACGGTGGTTACAGAACCGTGCTCCGCATACGTAATAGCACCTATATACCTAGTGACAAGGAGAATGGAACACCCAGTATGAGTGATTCTAATTGGATGACATTTTGTATATTAGTCTAATCATATTAGCAAATTTCCCCGAAATAATTGTAAAGCCTGGTTTAAACATGGACGCATAAAATGGGTACACCAATTTTTGTGGGGAAACTTTTAACAACAAATAATAAGAAAACGTGTTTTTTGGGATTCAATCGAAAGTGTTGACAGGAACGAAAAGCTTTTTATATAAGATTTTTAGGAATTTATGAGACCTACAAAATGAGACTACACGTTTTGGCACTTGTTGGTAATGCGACGATAATTTCACGCAACTACTTGAAATTCTTCAGATCCGTAGGATTCATTCTTATAAATAACAACAACGAAATTAGAATATATTGGTCAAGCAGTTTTTTCAGAATTTCTAATTGTTTATCCCAAAACACCTGTTTTCCGGCGATCACTACTAGTTTATTGACCAATATCGTTCGTTCAAAGAGCATTCAATAGCAAAATACACGTGTTTACCTTGCCCATATGAATCGCAAACCATTCCGAAAGATAAATGTTATTTTTATGCGACGTTTTTTCTTCTAAACAAATTCAAACATTTCGTATTTATGAGCAATTGAACAAGTGATCTACGATATTCGAAAAACATACGTTACTATACACATTTTGAAAGAAAGCGGATGTGTCTATCATCTTTTGTTGCGGATTACTCACAAATACGAAAAGTTTGAATTTGTTTAGAAGAAAAAACGTAACCCATCCTTTTTTGCATTTATCTTCCGAAATAGGTTGCGATTCATATCGGCAAGGTAAACACGTGTATTTTGCTATAAAATGCCTTTTGAACTAACCCTATATATTGCTCAATAAACTAGAAGGGATGGCCGGAAAACAGGTGTTTTGGGATAAGCAATTAGAAATTCTCAAAAAATACTTGACCAATCTACACAAATTTTATTGCGGTTAAGAAGCCTGCAGTTTGCTTCAGTTTTCGGCCATAACTTTTTTGGTATCATTTTATAGGTTTCATAAGTACCTAAAAATCTTACATGAAGAGTTTTTTTCGTTCCTGCCAATACTTTCGATTGAATTACAAAAAACACGTTTTCTTAATATTTGTTGTTAAATAAAAAGTTTTCTCACAAAAACTGGTGTACCCATTTTATGCGTCCATGTTTTGAATACCCCCTTGAACAACTTGCAGCAATAAAACCAGACTTTACAATTATTTCGCAAACCAGGGATATTTTTGTCTAATATGATTAGACTATATGTATACGTGTACAGTACTTTTATATATACTAAGTGACATATAAATCCGAACACCCAGTTTAAGTGGTTTTATTTTAATAAAATTTTGTATAAGTACTTAATGAAGCATAATAAGTAAATGATAAACATTTCAAAATGATTGCACTGCTTTAAAGCCCTTTGACCTTTAATAATGTGTGGATACACCCTGATGTGCTACGCATTCTCCAACGCGTCTAGGCATGCTTCTGATCAGGTGGTCAATGTCCTCCTGTGGTATCTCATTCCAGGCAACCACCAACTCCTCTCGAAGTGCTTCTAGAGTCTGAGGAGGACGCTGCAAATTGAGCAATCTCCTACCCATCATATCCCACACGTGCTCAATTGGGGATAAGTCGGGAGATCTTGGTGGCCATGGTAACAATGTGACATCATTATGTTGAAAGAAGTCTATTGTGACTCTTGCAACATGTGGTCGGGCATTATCTTGTTGGAAAGTTGGATCTGCCAGGGTGTCAAGATAGGGTAAAAGATGGGGTTCTAGAACTTCGTGGATATAACGCTGCGCGTTCATGTTACCTCCACAATCCAAAACTTCTCATTCGTCGGTAAACACTTCGCATGCCAATAGGTCTTCCGTGTTCTGCAAACCATTCATTTGCAATGGACCTGGTAGTGGAGAAACGGTCCCTTAAGGCCAATAATCTTAGGCGGCGATCTTCACGGTCTGTTGTTCTACGGCGGCGTCCAGTGCCCCTTGCTTTTTGCGTACGGCCTTCTCGAAGCCATGCCTGACAACACCTAACCACAGTGTCTACACTTCTTTACACTCTAACTGCAATTGCCCGAAAAGAAAATCCAGCTTTCAGAAGTCCCACTATACGGCCCCTATCAAACTCACTAAGTTGACGAAATCGTACAGGTCTCCGTACTCTAGGCATCGCAACCGATCGTAAAGGATGTCAAGAACCAAAATCCGCCAACGTTGATTCTTTACTGCGGCTGAAATATTCATTTTTAGAGCGTTAGTGAATTAAAAAAAGCAGTATAAAAACCGGAATGTCCAACTGATAAGGCTGAAAATTTTTTCACTTGTTATTTACAGTAAGATAAATACATTCACCAACTTTTATTAAAATAAAACCATTTAAACTGGGTGTTCGGATTTATATGTCACTTAGTATACATAAGCGATGTCGCTAGATTTCGCTGATAATGGTCAGATTCGTCCAGTCGTCAGAGCAAGATTCCGATGATATATGACTCCTCATCCCATGTTAGATGTACTTGATTCTGGAGAACTGCTAAAGTTCACGGAGGATGAATTAGACATTCTTTCGATTATTTTCCATCCTTGTTCAATTGCCGAATGGTCTAGAGATATAGAAGGCTAAGAAAGGAAGCTGATTTGACCGTTATTAAGGAGTCTACTGTAGCTGTAGCAATATGGGGATGGGCATTGTCTTATTGGAAAATAGGGTTCTCAAGAATTTGGATAAATGCTAAAAGATTACGTTCTAGAATCCTGGATATACTGTTGCGCTGTCATACCTTCTCTATTAGAAATTACTTCTCACACAGTAGCCTTCCATCACTTACGTGCCAGGATGGAACGATTGTAACAGACTCAACGATAATGCGGAAGTGCTTGCGAAAATCTTTGCTGCCACTCCACCATGGAAGTCCCCCAATGCCCGAGTACCGTCGATCCAAAGGGTTCCCTACACTATGCGAGAAGATATAAGACCGCTCGACAATAACAAAGCTTTTGGCCTGGACTTGATTCCTGCCGTTGTATTGAAGCAGAGATGTGCAGCGGAGCTTGCTGCAGTTCTTTCGCGTCTCTTCACGATATTACGAATCCGGCACCTTCCCAGAAACTGGAAATTTGGCCATGTCCAACCCATCAAAAAAAAAGGATCTAAGACCGACCCTTACTACTACAGACCTATAGTTCTGCTTTCTGTTATAAGTAAAGTGATGGAGAGGTGCATAAATCGTGAGCTTCTGGACAACTCATACAGTCAGCCTCATATCGTTGCTCTTCATACCACGAAAGAGTTCAATCAGCTGTGGCACGCTACCCTCTTCTGCAAACGTGTATGCTATGGGCTCCCAGAGAAGCTTTGCATTTGACGTCAACGCCAACGCGGGTGGTCCCCAAGGATCAGTCTTGGCTCCGATGGTGGAACAACCTACAAGAGGAGGCTTTTCCCAGTCCTGCTAAGCTTAGGCAGTTCTTAGAATCGAATTAACGAAATTTCTTTGTGATCCTCATAGCAGTCGCGGTGTACTGGCATTAAGGCCTCTGCCTGCGCGGCTGCTTCGGTGTAAAAAAAGTGGAAATAACAGTGCCATATTTATGTAGCGGTTCAGAACTGAGAACAAAAAGGGTAGGATGATGAATGGTATAAAATTGTTTTCAGTGATGATGCAAATTCTGTTTAGGAATGCATGATGGACGGGCACGAGTCAGGTTAGAAGGCGTCACGGAATGAGACGTAATGTATAGTTTCCTGTTGGGCGTGACGTACATCACACTTCAGTGCTAGGCTTAGAGCATCATTAAATATGGTCTTAGGTCGTGGCTTCCATTAGAGGAGGTGTGTCCGCACAACGGTATGTTCAGGCAATTCTGGAACCCCATTTTTGCTATTTCTTCAAATATACTAAATGACATATAAATCCGAACACCCAGATTAAATGGTTTTATATTAATAAAAGTTGGCGAATGCATTTATCTTACTGTAAATAACAAGTGAAAAAATTTTCAGCCTTATCAGTTGGACATTCCGGTTTTTATACTGCTTTTTTTTAATTCACTAACGCTCTAAAAATGAATATTTCAGCCGCAGTAAAGAATCAACGTTGGCGTATTTTGGTTCTTGACATCCTTTACGATCGGTTACGATGCCTAGAGTACGGAGACCTGTACGATTTCGTCAACTTAGTGAGTTTGATAGGGGCCGTATAGTTGGACTTCGGGAAGCTGGACTTTCTTTTCGAGCAATTGCAGTTAGAGTGCAAAGAAGTGTAGACACTGTGGTTAGGTGTTGTCAGGCATGGCTTCGAGAAGGCCGTACGCAAAGAGCAAGGGGCACTGGACGCCGCCGTAGAACAACAGACCGTGAAGATCGCCGCCTAAGGTTATTGGCCTTAAGGGACCGTTTCTCCACTACCAGGTCCATTGCAAATGAATGGTTTGCAGAACACGGAAGACCTATTGGCATGCGAAGTGTTTACCGACGAATGAGAAGTTTTGGCTTGTTTTCATACCGGCCACACTGGGTCCTGCCTTTAACTCGAGAACACCGACGTAATCGCCTTGAGTGGTGCAGACAATGGTCACTCTGGGATCAGGAATGGAACAGTATTGTCTTTAGTGACGAGTCTAGATTTTGGCATGCACGATGGTCGTGCCAGGGTTAGAAGGCGACGTGGTGAAAGGAGGAATCCACAGTTTTTTGTTGAAGGACATGTTCATCACACTGTTGGAGTTATGGTTTGGGGTGCTATAGCTTATGGTTCCAGGTCACCTTTAATCTTCATCAGAGGTAACATGAACGCGCAGCGTTATATCCACGAAGTTCTAGAACCCCATCTTTTACCCTATCTTGACACCCTGGCAGATCCAACTTTCCAACAAGATAATGCCCGACCACATGTTGCAAGAGTCACAATAGACTTCTTTCAAAATAATGATGTCACATTGTTACCATGGCCACCAAGATCTCCCGACTTATCCCCAATTGAGCACGTGTGGGATATGATGGGTAGGAGATTGCTCAATTTGCAACGTCCTTCTCAGACTCTAGAAGCACTTTGAGAGGAGTTGGTGGTTGCCTGGAATGAGATACCACAGGAGGACATTGACCACCTGTTCAGAAGCATGCCTAGGCGCGTTGGAGAATGCGTAGCACATCAGGGTGCATCCACACATTATTAAAGGTCAAAGGGCTTTAAAGCAGTGCAATCATTTTGAAATTTTTATCATTTACTTATTATGCTTCATTAGGTACTTACAACATTTTATTAGAATAAAACCATTTAAACTGGGTGTTCGGATTTATATGTCACTTAGTATACTTGAAAATCTTAGATTCTGAAAAATAACGCTCAAGTCAGCCTCCTTTATTGGCCTTCTAGATCTCGGCGCCTTTCCCCACTGAACATATGTTGATATGACGGGAAGCAGTCACCTTTTTACCTCATCCTTCTTGAGCGCTAACATCTTATCGGAACTCAGTACAGCTAGCTTGGGAGAAGAAGACAGAAAATGTTATCACTTCAACATTTAATCAATTCTTCCTTCACTTCCTAACTAGATTCATAATTTTATTCAAATAAAATAAATTTTCTGGGTGTTTTATCTTTTTTTCGTCACTGTGTACTGTTTTTATCACATTGTGTCTTGAAGAAGCAATCGATTTTAGTTAAGTTCTTAATAAAAATAAGGTACTTTTTTGTCACGAAGATTCGAAGGTCATTAGCTAGCTTTTGGGCTTACATTCAGAAAAGCTTGATAATTTGGTTTAGCCAGTATAAGTGATATAATGAATCATTCTCTGTTGCATGTTCAGATAGCGATGACCTATTATTCGTAACTTGTGAAACGTAAAGCTATTTAAATAATACACTATTAAACTCAATCTTTCCAAATGTGTGTATTTAGCTTTGTGTCGCTACAATAAACTTCTATAATATTGATTCTGGTAATTAAAATGGGTGAAACCAATGCTTTTCTAGATTACTCAGTGATGTAACGCTATAAAACTCCTTAATTATTTATAGCTCATGCAAAACCTTGAGGGAACAATCCTTTAAAATTGGAATGTTAATTGTTCTGGGTTTTGTTCATAGTGCTAACAAAAGTTAGTTGATTTTATTATCCATTTATTTGAGATTTTAGATCGCGACATTTTATCTATAAAAGTTGGTGAATGCATTTATCTTACTGTAAATAACAAGTGAAAAAATTTTCAGCCTTATCAGTTGGACAGTCCGCTTTTTATACTGCTTTTTTTTAATTCACTAACGCTCTAAAAATGAATACTTCAGCCGCAGTAAAGAATCAACGTTGGCGGATTTTGGTTCTTGACATCCTTTACGATCGGTTACGATGCCTAGAGTACGGAGACCTGTACGATTTCGTCAACTTAGTGAGTTTGATAGGGGCCGTATAGTGGGACTTCGGGAAGCTGGACTTTCTTTTCGGGCAATTGCAGTTAGAGTGCAAAGAAGTGTAGACTCTGTGGTTAGGTGTTGTCAGGCATGGCTTCGAGAAGGCCGTACGCAAAGAGCAAGGGGCACTGGACGCCGCCGTAGAACAACAGACCGTGAAGATCGCCGCCTAAGATTATTGGCCTTAAGGGACCGTTTCTCCACTACCAGGTCCATTGCAAATGAATGGTTTGCAGAACACGGAAGACCTATTGGCATGCGAAGTGTTTACCGACGAATGAGAAGTTTTGGCTTGTTTTCATACCGGCCACACTGGGTCCTCCCTTTAACTCGAGAACACCGACGTAATCGCCTTGAGTGGTGCAGACAACGGTCACTCTGGGATCAGGAATGGAACAGTATTGTCTTTAGTGACGAGTCTCGATTTTGTTTAGGCATGCACGATGGTCGTGCCAGGGTTAGAAGGCGACGTGGTGAAAGGAGGAATCCACAGTTTTTTGTTGAAAGACATGTTCATCACACTGTTGGAGTTATGGTTTGGGGTGCTATAGCTTATGATTCCAGATCACCTTTAATCTTCATCAGAGGTAACATGAACGCGCAGCGTTATATCCACGAAGTTCTAGAACCCCACCTTTTACCCTATCTTGACACCCTGGCAGATCCAACTTTCCAACAAGATAATGCCCGACCACATGTTGCAAGAGTCACAATAGACTTCTTTCAACATAATGATGTCACATTGTTACCATGGCCATCAAGATCTCCCGACTTATCCCCAATTGAGCACGTGTGGGATATGATGGGTAGGAGATTGCTCAATTTGCAACATCCTCCTCAGACTCTAGAAGCACTTCGAGAGGAGTTGGTGGTTGCCTGGAATGAGATACCACAGGAGGACATTGACCACCTGATCAGAAGCATGCCTAGGCGCGTTGTGGAATGCGTAGCACATCAGGGTGCATCCACACATTATTAAAGGTCAAAGGGCTTTAAAGCAGTGCAATCATTTTGAAATTTTTATCATTTACTTATTATGCTTCATTAAGTACTTATACAAAATTTTATTAAAATAAAACCATTTAAACTGGGTGTTCGGATTTATATGTCACTTAGTATATGTGATCTCTTTAGTTATTAGATCTGTTCTTATTATACATAGAAAACTATTGGCGAAACAAGTGTTATTTTATACTTTGCTTTATTTATTAATTTATTTTTGATTTGTAATTAATTTCCTGTGAATAAAGCCTATTAAACTGAACCGTGTGTCTCAAATAAGATTACTGATTGGAACGCGCTATTGTTTAATAGGTTTATAGGGTGTCCAGAAGAATTTCTATGATGGCAAGAGGAGGAAAATGTTCATTATTTTTAAAATGTAACCAGAAATACCTGTTTTCTGAGTGACCTTGTAGTGATAATCAGTTTTTGAATATCATACTCATCTGTTCTAGATTATTATTATACACTATTTGAGAATTATCTATTTTTCATTTTACAGCAATCATTTCCATTGAGGCACAAAGAAATCAATTTGCTCAACATGCCGCTCGCATTGAAGTATGTCTACGACTTCGCAAAATCCAATATGAGCCAAAAATTAAGGGATCGATTTACGGTAAGGATAAAATTCAAAATAAAAAACAGATTGTGCATACAGTATCGGTTCCCTGTTAATTCCTACACTACTGGAAAGGAATTATTGTGATCGCTGGAAATTTGAAAAATGAGAATTAGGGTTGTCCAATAGGGACGCAGGAAAGTAAACGTCAATTTGACATAGACGCCATCTTTGTTTTCTGTCACCGACATGTCATTTTGTTAGTTGAATGTTTACCATTGATCGCTATGGAGTCGTATTCGATTGAAGACCGCGTTAAAGTTATTCAAGAGCACTACAAAAATGGTGCAAAAATAAAAAGCACGTTTCGCGCGCTTCGTGAACATTTCGGTCGCAACAACCGCCCAAACGAAACAACCATCGGTCGTCTGGTGCGTAAATTCGAGGCAACAGGTTCTGTGGCAAATCTGCCAGGCTCTGGCCGGCCAAGGAGCGTTCGCACACCGGAAAATATTGCTGTTGTGAAGGAGAGTGTGAGAGACGATCCGAAACAATCAACAACGCGTCGATCCCAAGAATTGGGCATTTCGAGAACCAGTTTGTTCCGCATTCTCCACAAGGATTTGAATCTACACGCCTACAAGATCCAATTGACGCAAGAGCTGCGTCGGGCCAACCTTTTTTTGCGCCGAACGTTCTCATATTGGCTCCTTGAACACCGCCAAATTGATGCCAATTTTTCATCAAAAATCATGTTCAGCGACGAAGCGCATTTCACTTTGAATGGGACGGTAAACAAGCAAAACTGCCGCATCTGGGCGAACGAAAATCCCCGTGAGTATCAAGAGCAGCCGATGGATCCTCAAAAAGTGGCTGTGGTCAAAAGGCATCATCGGACCTTACTTTTTCGAAAATGCGGCCGGGGACGCCGTTACCGTCAATTCTGAGCGATATCACGTGATGATAGAGGACTATTTTTTGCCGCAACTTGAAGGAATGGATATGGACGAAGTTTATTTCCAACAAGACGGTGCAACATGCCACACAACCAACGTCAATATCCATCGATTGCAGTCCTTCTTCGGTGATCGCGTGATTTCGCGCAGAGGAAATGTACCATGGCCACCAAGATCGTGCGATTTGACTCCCTTGGACTTCTTTTTATGGGGATATTTGAAGAGCAAAGTCTACGTCAACAAACCAGCTATCCTCCAAGAACTCATTGCCGAGATAAATGCCATAGAACCGACCATGTTGCAAAATGTCTTTGAAAATTTCGACCATCGCGTGGACGTCTGTAAATCCAGTCGTGGTAAACATTTGAGCGATATTATTTTTCATACATAAATGGTATAAATGAACCTTCAAAATACAGTACCCAACTTGATTTGAATATCAACCTTTCTTGTTTTAATATGCGTTTACTTTCCTGCATCCGTTTTGGACAACCCCATATTTTTCGGATGTTATATAACAGTTAATCCTTTGCCAAGCTATAACTTGGAAAATATCTGTGGAATTATGATGAAGATCTCACACAAGGTTACTGCTATCCCAAAAACAAAAAACTTTGTAGTTCTTAAAAATCGGTCCAGTGGCAGTGCAGTGGAGCTAAGGACAAAAAACTAAAGAAGAAAATGCTCGCTCCCTCGCTTGTTGGTTTTTTGAGGTTCTTGAGTAGTTTCAGGAAATTTTTTGTAGCGGTTGAAGATTGGTGGTTGAGGGTTGTAGGAAGTAGGGGGTTGTAAACGATGCGGATTTGGGATTGGGAAAATTTTGCAAGGTTCAAAATACACACAGTAGTGCGTACTTGCGTTCTTTCCAGATCCTTTAACAGAACTATAAATTTTTGCCAGGAAAATTTCCAAAAATTGGAAGAACCGCATTTTCACTCATGTTTAAATCACAATTTTTATAAATAAACCTGGAAGATGCACGCAAATGCATAAGTGCTTTGAGCTTTTGGTCAGCCAAGTTATGATATTTTCCTCTAAAAATACCTAAAATTGGAAAAATCGATAATATTGCGGATTTTCCAATTTTTGTCAATTTTCCTGATTAAGAAATCATTATTTTTATAACGGAAGTGAAAATAGAACAATATATATGTACAATGACTTACTAGGTGGGCGAACTATTCCTTCCCTAACCAAAATCGTAAAAAATTTAAAAATATCAGTGAAGGAGCGGTTTTTCCTATTTTCGCGTTTTTCCGAAAAAATTTTTGATTGTGGAACCTAAAAGAATGAATAAAATATTTACATATATATACTGGTTCCTAAGTTAGCCAATTTGTGATACCCTTCGTGTAAAATATCCAAAATTGGAGAGAATCGGTGAAAATGCGGTTTTTCCAATTTTTGACGATTTTCCGGAAACAAATTAATTGTTATCTTAGTGGATCTAAAAAGAACACAGAAAAGTACTGATATAAGGTGGATTCTCAAGTTTGCGAAATTGTCATTACCTGAAAAATTCCAAATATAATTTCAATTTTTTTTCTGTCGGACCCATTATTTTCTTTTATATACTCCAACTACCACGAAGGCCTAAGGCCTAAACACCCATTGGGTACCGTGGGGCGATAGGGGGATACAGGGAACAGGCGGAACGCCACACGGACTCTGACGAGGGAACACGTGTGCATGCAACATGCACACATTCTGGCTCCGCCTACGAGATCCGCCGGGTGGTACCTCCACGTTCGACAGTCAGAGATCATCTACCATCTACGGACAATCACAACATCCATAGCCAAGAGAAAACTTTCTCCTGGGACGGGACTCGAACCCGCACAGCGTACGGCGACTGATCAGGAGACCGAAGAGTCTACTACTGCGGTCACCGCTGCTGCCTATACGCTGCACAAAATCACGGTTATGTGAGAAATAACAATGTAGATAAGATACTTTTTCCAAAAATTTTTTAGTAAAGTTGTGATCGTAAGAAATGTATACTAAGTGACGTATAAATCCGAACACCCAGTTTAAATGGTTTTATTTTAATAAAAGTTGGTGAATGTATTTATCTTACTGTAAATAACAAGTGAAACAATTTTCAGCCTTATCAGTTGGACATTCCGGTTTTTATACTGCTTTTTTTTAATTCCCTAATGCTCTAAAAATGAATATTTCAGCCGCAGTAAAGAATCAACGTTGGCGGATTTTGGTTCTTGACATCCTTTACGATCGGTTACGATGCCTAGAGTACGGAGACCTATACGATTTCGTCAACTTAGTGAGTTTGATCGGGACCGTATAGTGGGACTTCGGGAAGCTGGACTTTCTTTTCGGGCAATTGCAGTTAGAGTGCAAAGAAGTGTAGACACTGTGGTTAGGTGTTGTCAGGCATGGCTTCGAGAAGGCCGTACGCAAAGAGCAAGGGGCACTGGACGCCGCCGTAGAACAACAGACCGTGAAGATCGCCGCCTAAGATTATTGGCCTTAAGGGACCGTTTCTCCACTACAAGGTCCATTGCAAATGAATGGTTTGCAGAACACGAAAGACCTATTGGCATGCGAAATGTTTACCGACGAATGAGAAGTTTTGGCTTGTTTTCATACCGGCCACACTGGGTCCTCCCTTTAACTCGAGAACACCGACGTAATCGCCTTGAGTGGTGCAGACAACGGTCACTCTGGGATCAGGAATGGAACAGTATTGTCTTTAGTGACGAGTCTCGATTTTGTTTAGGCATGCACGATGGTCGTGCCAGGGTAAGACGGCGACGTGGTGAAAGGAGGAATCCACAGTTTTTTGATGAAAGACATGTTCATCACACTGTTGGAGTTATGGTTTGGGGTGCTATAGCTTATGGTTCCAGGTCACGTTTAATCTTCATCAGAGGTAACATGAACGCGCAGCGTTATATCCACGAAGTTCTAGAACCCCATCTTTTACCCTATCTTGACACCCTGGCAGATCCAACTTTCCAACAAGATAATGCCCGACCACATGTTGCAAGAGTCACAATAGACTTCTTTCAACATAGTGATGTCACATTGTTACCATGGCCACCAAGATCCCCGACTTATCCCCAATTGAGCACGTGTGGGATATGATGGGTAGGAGATTGCTCAATTTGCAACGTCCTCCTCAGACTCTAGAAGCACTTCGAGAGGAGTTGGTGGCTGCCTGGAATGAGATACCACAGGAGGACATTGACCACCTGATCAGAAGCATGCCTAGGCGCGTTGGAGAATGCGTAGCACATCAGGGTGCATCCACACATTATTAAAGGTCAAAGGGCTTTAAAGCAGTGCAATCATTTTGAAATTTTTATCATTTACTTATTATGCTCCATTAAGTACTTATACAAAATTTTATTAAAATAAAAACATTTAAACTGGGTGTTCGGATTTATATGTCACTTAGTATATTTCGAAAAAACAAGATCGAAAAATCTGGCAGTGATTTGACCCAGTATATCTTGATTTGGATTGATCATGATTTGGATACCTTTGGCGGCAATTTCCATATGTAGTTTCGAATAGCCTTTGTGATTACACCTGTAGACACATAATTTTAACGTCTGCGACTCCAATAACCCCAGCTAGCCAGGAATACACAATATCCTTTACCTGCGGAGGGTCGGATCTGAATTCAGCAACACCAACGGTACCCCAGCTGAGACGCGCGAGGATGCAATGGTACCAAAGTGTACGAAAGGTGTCCCAATATTATGCATCATGTATTGGCAGAACCGATTATTTAAAAAAAAAATAAGTTAACAATTTAATTATATTCGTGTTATCACATCACCAGCAGTATGGGTTTCTATGGCCGATGAGTAGTAAGGATACTAGAACGTACGAAATTTGTCTCAGATACATGGCCCATATTCAAAGTCCATATTTTCAATCTTCATAAATCGACAATACTGTTTTTCATTGACACTTCTTCCACTCTAAACATTTATATCGTGGTACAACGATTCATACAACCGCCATATAATAAATATACTAGAGTGTACAAAATTTGACTTAGATGCATATTCATGCATATTCAAAGTCTATTTGTTTAGAATTGCGTGGGATGTATAGAGTCAATCTACTTGATGCGATTTTCTACAATAGCTCAAGCTGGTCGATTATGTGTCACCTTACGTACAAGGTCCAGCTTCGAATCGGAGCGGAATACCGTTCACACATCTATGTAGAGCCTTGTACTGGTCTGACTACACTAAGTGATATATAAATCCGAACACCCAGTTTAAATGGTTTTATTTTATTAAAAGTTGGTGAATGTATTCATCTTACTGTAAATAAGTGAAAAAATTTTCAGCCGTATCAGTTGGACATTCCGGTTTTTATACTGCTTTTTTTTAATTCACTAACGCTCTAAAAATGAATATTTCAGCCGCAGTAAAGAACCAACGTTGGCGGATTTTGGTTCTTGACATCCTTTACGATCGGTTACGATGCCTAGAGTACGAAGACCTGTACGATTTCGTCAACTTAGTGAGTTTGATAGGGGCCGTATAGTGGGACTTCGGGAAGCTGGACTTTCTTTTCGGGCAATTGCAGTTAGAGTGCAAAGAAGTGTAGACACTGTGGTTAGGTGTTGCCAGGCATGGCTTCGAGAAGGCCGTACGCAAAGAGCAAGGGGCACTGGACGCCGCCGTAGAACAACAGACCGTGAAGATCGCCGCCTAAGATTATTGGCCTTAAGGGACCGTTTCTCCACTACCAGGTCCATTGCAAATGAATGGTTTGCAGAACACGGAAGACCTATTGGCATGCGAAGTGTTTACCGACGAATGAGAAGCTTTGGCTTGTTTTCATACCGGCCACACTGGGTCCTCCCTTTAACTCGAGAACACCGACGTAATCGCCTTGAGTGGTGCAGACAACGGTCACTCTGGGATCAGGAATGGAACAGTATTGTCTTTAGTGACGAGTCTCGATTTTGTTTAGGCATGCACGATGGTCGTGCCAGGGTTAGAAGGCGACGTGGTGAAAGGAGGAATCCACAGTTTTTTGTTGAAAGACATGTTCATCACACTGTTGGAGTTATGGTTTGGGGTGCTATAGCTTATGGTTCCAGGTCACCTTTAATCTTCATCAGAGGTAACATGAACGCGCAGCGTTATATCCACGAAGTTCTAGAACCCCATCCTTTACCCTATCTTCACACCCTGGCAGATCCAACTTTCCAACAAGATAATGCCCGACCACATGTTGCAAGAGTCACAATAGACTTCTTTCAATATAATGATGTCACATTGTTACCATGGCCACCAAGATCTCCCGACTTATTATCCCCAATTGAGCACGTGTGGGATATGATGGGTAGGAGATTGCTCAATTTGCAACGTCCTCCTCAGACTCTAGAAGCACTTCGAGAGGAGTTGGTGGTTTCCTGGAATGAGATACCACAGGAGGACATTGACCACCTGATCAGAAGCATGCCTAGGCGCGTTGGAGAATGCGTAGCACATCAGGGTGCATCCACACATTATTGAAGGTCAAAGGGATTTAAAGCAGTGCAATCATTTTGAAATTTTTATCATTTACTTATTATGCTTCACTAAGTACTTATACAAAATTTTATTAAAATAAAACCATTTAAACTGGGTGTTCGGATTTATATGTCACTTAGTATATTAATATCATGTAATTTTATGCTAAAGTACATAAACGTTTATTTTGGAAACGGTTTCTATGTTTGATTTTTCAGGTATATCATTCCAAGGACAGCATGTTGGAGAAAGTGGACAGACACTGCCTTCCTAAAGAGTATGGGGGCGAAGTTCCAGCTAAAGAGATGATTGATTTGTGGAAAGTTGAGTTAGCTACGAAAAGAAAAAGACTCCTGTCGTTTGATTGCATGAATCTGTTAAGTGACCAAGGAATTATGTGTAGGAAAAACAGACAAACTGAGGACAGTACGGGGAGCTTGCTAGGAAGCTTTCGGAAGCTTGAGTTAGATTAGCTTATTAGGATTTTAAAATTGACGTATTCAATTTATTAAGTCACCTTTCATGATCGTATTCATTTAATATAATCTAATCATATTAGCAAATTTCCCCGAAATAACTGAAAAGTTTGATTTTATTGGTGCAAGTTGTTCAAAGGGATATTCAAAACATGGACACATAAAATGGGTACACCGAGTTTTGTTGGAAAACCTTTTAATCGACAACAAAGAATGGGGCCATATTACCGTGCAAAGTATATAGTAGAAACGAATCTCTCAAAGTTTTACCTACAAAAACCAGATATGTAATACTGCAGTTCGGCTCCAGAGCACTCATTGTGTGCCCACATCGCATAGCTTTGGCACTGAACCCATATTCCGCCCTGTCGGTCACCAGAGAAACGCCGGTCACAAAACATACAAGTCGCATCGTTGTTCTCAGAAACTGCCCCTTGCAAAGATTCATCAACATCGGAATCATCATCACTGCTTGGAAGAACATCTTCATCACTGTCAGAACTGCTGCTTGTACTAGAGGCTTTTCTGGAAACTTTTCCTTTTGACAAAAAGTTACGTCGAACTTGCTGTACACTGTTCACGCGACCCCGACCCCGTGCAGCTACTGCCACTGTAGTTCTCTTCACGGATGCTTCTAATTCCCTTATGTAAGTTGATAATCTAAGTTCAGCAGCCGATGATGCTTTGCGTCCTCGAGTTGAAGCTTTTGTTTTGGGTTTCGGGATAGGTGATGTATCATGCGGTAAAACAAAAGAAGATTCAGAAGCCGAAGATCCGGGCTGATCATTGGGATTCGTTTTTTCTACACGATCATTGATTTTCGATGGCCCAGGCTGTACATCTGTTGCTAGTGGTTGTATCACTGTAGATGTTGCCGACTTGTTATGTGGTGCTATCGTTACAGCGATATACAGGGTTAGTTCAAAGGGCACATAGTAAAATACACTAGTGTACCTTGCCGATATGAATCACAAACCAGTCTGGAAGGTAAATGTTATTTTTCTGCAAAAAAAGGATTGGTTACGTTTTTTCTTCTAAACAAATTTAAACATTTCGTATTTGTAAGTACCTAATTAGCAACAAAAGATGTTCAATTACTCACAAATACGAAATGTTTGAATTTGTTTAGAAGAAAAAAACGTAACTTTTGTTTTTCGCATAAAAATAACATTTATCTTTCGGAATGATATGTGATTCATATCAGAAAGGCAAGCACGTGTATTTTGCTATTAGGAGCTCTTTGAAAGAACCCAGTATATTGCTCAATAAACTAGTAGTGATGGGCGGATAACAGTGGTTTGGGATAAACAACTAGAAATTCTCAAATAACTACTTTAGCAATATAATCCAATTCTACGGATTTGAAGAATTTCTCAAGTGCCAAAACCTGCATTTTGCCTCGCTTTTCGGCCATAACATTTTTGCCATTAGTCGGATCTTTTTACGTGTGGTTCATTTTATCTCATAAATACCTAAAAACCTTATATGAAAAGTTTTTTCATTCAACACGTTTTCTCATTCTTTGTTGTCAAATAAAAAGTTTTGTCACAAAAATTGGTGTACTTATTTTATGCGTCCATGTTTTGAACAACTTGCAGCAATAAAACCATACTTTACAATCATTTCGGGGAAATTTGCTAATACGATTAGACTATTACACACTTAGTCAATCAAAGCAAAAAAAGTATGTTGTTTCGAAATGATTCTTGGGCTTTTGCCCAAATAGTAGTAACTATTGAGCATAATCAATGAGTTTCTAGTTTACTAGAAATGGAGCTACTTAGTTTAATCCGAAGTGGACTTCTCTCTCTTTGGATATTCACTATGGTGCCATTCTCAACCTTTTGATTAAAACCTGAAATTTCAGAAAGTGCGACTCATTTTCTATTAAAAATCATTAAGCATGGAGGAAACGAGCACGCTGCAGACCATTACAATTTCCTTTCTATTGATTGGCTCATAACATTATTAAACTTATTCTTGCTTGTCAATAGTAAGTTATATCTGTGTTGCAAATATCGAAATAATTAGGTAGGTATAGATTATGTATAAAATATTTGTTTTTCATGCATATTTATGATTATCTGCTCCGTTCTTTTTCCGTTACGGTGATAGCATTATTTATAATTTCCAACATTGTATTTACACGAAAGATTATAGATATATTAATTTAAGTAGCCTTAAGATAAGATAAAGTTATCAATTTAGTACATACAACTATGTAGTATTGTTTTTCAAATCCGAATATGCTGTACCACCTCATCATCACAAAAATGATTTAAGTTAGTTCTAGTTATATGTCTTTCCTTTTTGTTGTTTTTTGACATCTGTTTTCGCTTTTTTTTCATTACATCTTTCTTAAACTAGTGTTATTTTAAACTGCAGAGGTTGCCCCAATTGTTCAATAATTAGTTATTTCTTAGTATTCTTATTTTCCTTATTTCATCCTACATATATTTCGTGGTTGGGGAGGTAAGATATTCATTAACTTGGATCAAATCATTTGGCGAAACAATCGTGGCCAGGAAGCTCAGAATTTAGAAATATATGTTATAACAGTTAACTAGTATACCGTATACAGTCGAAATCTCGGAAGATGACGGCATCATTTTAGTTACAAACGACAGCGATTTGTGAATATATTTAACGAAGTTTCTGATATGTTAGACAAAGACAAACAGAATTTTATTGTCTAAACAAACTGTGTTGCTAATTTGCATATATCCGACAAAGATAGACGATGTTTTCATGTTGCGTGATCGATCATATTTGAAAGATGAATATTTAGTTTATGTTAAAGCAGGTTATGTTGTTTTCGACTAATACTTTCGTCTTTGGTGTTCCCGTGTTAAGGTATTCAACTCATAACTGTTTTTTTCGAAACGAAAACTCCCCACTAAAATTATTATTAAGGTATCACTCAAAACCATGAAATAAAATGAAAATAAAAATAATCAGTGAAACAACCTAACTTCGCAAAATCATAATATAAATTTGTTGTCATTATGTCTCTGACTCGTGATTTTATCATCGACGTACGTCCATGGATTACTTCAGTACAATTTATGGTATGACGTTATAGTCATCTTTCGTGATTTTGACTATAGCTACTTGGTTTAGATTGAACCATGGGCGCCCACAAGATTTTTTTGCAGGTGCCGATCATCGACGAGAGATAACTTTTTGTGATCATGTACTTGTCCTCACGGCTTTTTGACGAGCTGGAAGGGAGGTATACCAAATGTTCAGTCAAATCCTAAGAATCCTCAAAATTGTACACAAAGTCATGCTAAATATGCAACTTTGATGGTTCAAGCGTATTCCAGGCCTGCCCTGTGGGCACCCATGGGTTGAACACAACCTCCATGTGTATTATAAAGGCCTGAATAAAATAAACCTTTTTTATGTGTTTCCTGTGTTTTATTATTTAACCCTTTCACTCCTGTAGGGACACATATGTCCCAGCAGCTTTTGATAATTTCCTGAAATGACATCCTCGTATTTGAAATACCTCGCACTGGGACATATCAGTATTTTATGGTTGTGGGAGAATAATTTGCGATGTGGCAACATGGAGCAACAAAATGCAAGCAGTTGAACACGAGGTGTGATTGTGTATACATCTAGACAGCGCATGTCTTAGTGTTTTACTTGCATTTATAGTGATCTGTTGCAAATATTTATAGCTGTTTTATAGGAAGGCGGCAACTGAAAGCACAAAAGTAAGTATTTACATATAAATATAACACAATAAATTAATTTTTTCAAGTGTTCCTTCCCATTATTTATCCTTGGGTCATATATGTCCCAACAGGTATTCATACCGGGCCAGATGTGTCCCATTAGGCTTGTACACTCTCAACTTTTTCTTGCAGCGTGAAAGATCAAAATTTCATTCCATCATCTGCATCTGGGTCAGAAGGAAGTGATAGTGATTCTTCTGATGATGAAGACAATTATATGCAGAGTGTTGAAGAAGATGAAAACACTGATGAAGCAAAGCAACAGCTGGATGCTAAAATAATCTTGTGGTCTACTAACAACGAAAATTTTGTTTCTAGAAAAACTATACCTCCTGAAGTAAGACCTACCATACAGTGTGACCTAAATCGTGGCAGTACTGAATTGAACTGCTTTCTAAAGGTCTTTCCAAGAAGTCTTTTTCTTTATATTGCCCATTGCACAAATCAAAGGCTAGAAATTCACGAAAAAAGTATAAAGAAAAAAATGAAAAAACCAATGCCAAGGAAATTATGCTAGTAACTGGTGTGTGTGTTTGATTATGCATTATAATAGAGTACCAACATTTGCAATGTATTGGTCAAATAATCCGTCTCTTGGTAACGAAGCAATATAACACGCTATATCTAGGGATAGATGTCAACTACTTTTATCATCAAAAACCTATTACATGGACGAAGTACTGTCATGCTTCAAAAAAACCTTTCCCCAGGCAAGAAGTGAGACTCTACGTTTCAACGTATCGACGAATCAATGGCAAAGTTTAAGGGTAGGTCGACCCTGAAACAATACATGCCACTAAAGCCAGTAAAACGTGGAATTAAAATATGGACAAGATGTGATTCATTGACAGGGTACGTTTATGACCTGAATATTTATAGTGGCAAGGAAACGGAGGTCACTGAAGGAACCCTCGGTGAACGTGTAGTGAAAAAGCTGACCTCTTCAATTCATCAAACAAAAATGTAGTTTTGTGTTTTGACAGATTTTTCACATCAGTAAAGTTGATGAATGACATTAAATTTGCTGCAGTGGGGACCTGTATGAGGAATCGTAAGGATGTGCCGAAGTTTGAAGGAAAACTGGCAAGAGGGGAATCCCAAATTAGATATAGTAATCAGGGAACTTTAGCTATGAGATGGCAAGATACTAAAGACTTTGTTTTACTTTCCAATTGTCATAAAGCTGCAATAACTAAAATTAAAAGAAAAATGAAAGACGGATCAAGTTCAGAAGTTCCGTGCCTTGAAGCTATAGAGTTTTACAATAAGTGTATGGACGGCGTGGACCATGCCGATCAAATGGTTTCTCTATATGATATCAACAGAAAATCTGCGAAGTGGTGGCGAAAAGTCTATTATAAATCTCTTATGATGGCGGTTCATAATCCTTTTATACTATTCAGAGAAACACATCAAAAAAAATACTACCTTCATTCAATATGTCGTAAAATTAGCGGAGTTACTGATAGCCCATGGTGTGAAACGTAAAAGGACCAGAAAAGCTGGCCGACACTCACAACCATGCACGGATCCAAGTAATGTTGGTGATCATTTACCTGAGACAGGGCCTACGAGAAGAAGGTGCTAAGGCTGCTCTCAAAGAACAATTGAAAAGAGGACCAAACTCTTGTGCAGGATGTGTGATTTGCCATTATGCGTAGATTGTTTTACGCCATACCATACCTGAATTACGTATCCGATGGGACAAATATGTCCTGCCAAAAAAACCTGTTGGTACATCAGTGCCCCATTATTTTTATAAAAATCTGATTGAAATAAAAATGTATTTCACCAAATAACCTCTTTTTAGTTTATTTTTACATAGGTATACAACATTTCAAAACAGTAATGTTAAAAAAACAAATCCGGATTGAAAGGATTAACAGGTGGATGTTAATAAATAAAACCGCATATCTGAATAAGAAAGGGTTATTTCAATTATGACCCTCAACGAAACAAAAGAAAATCATCATCTTTTCTCCTCCAGTCAGTTGCATCGTTGCAGTTTTGCAAATTGGAAGCCATCCCCTTGAAAGTGTACCTCATCCAGCGATGACCGAATCTGCACCTTTTCATCGTCAAAATTAATGGTAATTTAAAAGTTCCAGCTTATTCTAAGGCGTTTGAAAGGATCAATCATCTCCTTCTTCTACCTAAGTTGAAGTATATTCGCTTTGATAATACCTCACTTAAATTGTGCGTATTTAACCGACCGAATTCAGGAAGTTTCTCTATCTAGACAGAGCTCTGTCCCAAGTGTCATACCATCTGGAGTGCCTCAGGGATCTATCATAGGTCCTCTCTTATTCCTCATCTACACCTTCTATATGCAGTAATGGAAAATTCTGAAATGCAATCTTTTGCAGAAGATACGCAACTAGTACATTATCAAAAATCATAGTTTTCTGTTCTGTTAATAAAAGAAACTACGTCAAAGCTAACCTTAATATCTTTATTGACAGAAATCTTCTTCAGGTTGCTACTACGGCCAAGATTTTAGGTGCCGAGGTCGATGAGAGGTTAAGGTTTTATAATCACATCAACTGTCTTGTTCAAGAAACCTACCTCCGCCTACGCACTTTGTACTCTTGTAGGTACCTACTGAACTATAAGCTTAGGAAAAAACTGTGTGGAATGCTAGTAATGTCTTGTTTGAACTACTGTAACATCCTTTATTTCCCATGCCTTGACAAAATAACGAAACATAGAATTCAAATTATACAGAATAACTGTGTCCGTTTTATATGTGGATTGAGAAAATTTGACCATGTATCACAGAAATATAGGAAGCTGAAATGGCTCAAATTTGATAAATTGGTCGAATACCATCATCTAGTATTTATTCAGAAAGTAATAACCAATTCGAGGCCCGCCTACTTGAGAGAAAAAATTCTATTTAACTTTGTTCATAATCGGTTAGTTAGAGATAGGTTGAGTATCAGAATTCCACCTCACTCTACAGTCTTACGCGCAGTTTTTCTTATAATTCGGCAGTTCTATGTAATTCGTTGGAGTATTCCTTTAAATGTATGAGCTTAGCAGGTTTTCGTAAGCATGTAAGGATCAAGCTGCTTGACTGATACTATACTTTCCACATTCATCATCCAATCAGACTTTTTATTTATTACGTTGAGAAGCTAATATTACTTTTAAGGACATGATATATATGTGTATATATGTATGTATGTGTATATAGGTGTGTATATATATATATGTATGTATATTTTTTTGTTATTTAACATCATTCACAAGATTACGTGTCTCATCGATCCTTTTCTAACCTCCTATCTAGAACGTTACATAATGCCAAACATGCTTATGAACGAACAACTCGTTACCTCCAAAAATAAGAAGAAGCTGTTTCGGTATCTAAGAACAAACCTGAATTCCAAAGTTTCATCACCTCAGATCCGCGACGCTGACGGTCATCTCCACATGGATGCCACCGAATCTGCCAACTTACTGGCAGAGTCCTTTAGTGATGACTTCGTCGATGAGCCTAATGGAGACCTTCTACCGACCACTATCTACCATAGGTGTCCCAACAGCCTTTGCGAAGTTGAGTTCCTGCCTGAAGATGTATTAATGCACTTGCGAAATCTGTAGACCTCTTCCTCCCCTGGTAAAGATGGGATGACGGCTGCTGTACTTAAAAACTGCGCTTCAGCACTGGTCCTACCATTAAGCTTGATATTCAGATCGTCTTTTAGATCTCATACCCTACCCTCATGCTGGCTTAGTGCTTCTGTTACCCCTGTATTCAGAAAGGGCGACAACTCCTCCGCTAAAA